AGTTTTTGTTGTCAGGTTATGAGCCGTTGGTGGGGATGACTCCAGGAAATGTAAATTTTCCCATGGAGAGATCCCTGAAGTCCTTCGTTCTCCAGTCAAGGCCAGATGTCTAGTATATATAATGCCGAGAGCCACGATACTTTTAGGGGCCCACAAAAAATGTCTTAATTTCTTTAAAAATAAGAACAAAAAGTGAGCTTCTAGGTCAAAGAAAATGTCTTAATATGTAACATTAGGATATTCTTTGTACTAGCACAGTCATAAAATATAATTTAATATTTCTCTTCAGAGGACGTGGTCTGTGAAGGTAAATGTGTCTTGAGGGCCCGTTAGAATCTGAGATTCCTAATGTGGCCCCATCTCCATTCACTGTTTTCCACCCTAAAATCTGCCTCCCAGTTGAACTTATTAAATTCATGGACTTCAAGTTCTTTATCTGCCAAATGCAAGTATTATGTCATAGGGCTATTCTGAGGATTAAATAAAATAGCAAACTCAAGAGCATTTTGTAAACTATAAAGAACCTTCTTAAGTGAGATCACATTATTGTTTTCTTGGTCATGGTCATTATCATCCATCTAGTCACTGAAGCTAGAAATCTGGGATTAAATCTGAATCCGGACTCTCCATCTCTTTTTCCAAATAGCTGCCAGCATCATGGATTTCTACCTCTGCCATGGCTCTGAAATCCATGCCTTCTTTTCTGGTCCCACTGCAAGAGTATTCTCTCTATTTCTCTTTCAAACTTTTATTATGGAGAATTTGGACTTACACAGAAGTACACAGAAGAGTGTAATAAACCCCACATAACCGTTATCCAGACCCTCAAATCAGTCCTGCCTTATGTCCACATCCCAAACTACCTTGGAAGCAAATCTCGGGCATTATATAATTTTATCCATAAACATTTCAATATGTTTCTATATGGGATAAGGATTCTTTTAAAAAAACAAAACCACATGATACTATACTCATTCCTAAAAATAGCAATAACTTCTTAATTTATCAAATATCTAGTCGGTGCTCATATTTACAGTTGCCTTATAAATGTCAAATGTTTTTTAAAGTATTTTTGAATTAGACTCCAAACAAGATCCCAACATGTTTTATTGATCTGCGGGTTCCTTGCTAATCTCTTTTTTATTTCTCTCTTGTTTGTTGACTGACTAATCTCTTAACTACACTGTTGCTGTAGTTCGACTTCCTGCTTCTACACGTTTTCTCTCCGATTTACTTCCCATCTTGCCACTGATGTTATCTAAGATGCATTCCATCACATGATTCTTCTCATTAAAAAAAGAAACTCCAAGGGCTTCAAAATGTATATAGGGATGAAGCCCATTCGTTGATTTGTTTGTTTATTCATCCATTTATGCAGTCTGCTGAAAGCCTTCAGTAACATGGTATAAATACACTTATCCAAGTTTCCAGTTCCTCTCCTGTGCCTTCCCCCACAGCCCTCCACATTCACCCCTTACTCTCTGACCCCCAGTGCCGTATTCTCTTTCAGGAACTTTGCTCAAGCTGTTTGTACTGACTTTGCCAGAAAACCCCTCCTCTTTCTTTGCCTGTCAAAATCCTGCTCATCCTTTAGAGGCCTTTGCATTTCACTTCCTTTCCAGTGCCTTTCCAGGAAGCTAGATTTAAATCAACCTTCAACCTCCCGGTTCCTGAGAGCATTTTCATAGTACATCTCTAACGCTGATTATCGTAATGACAGCTTCAAAAATCTTTAAATGCCTAAAGTCATTTGATGTTCTCAACCACCTTATGGAGAAGGTACTATTATTATTCCTATTTACAGATGAGGAAACAATATTAGCTAATGTTTACTCAGTGTCCATTAGGTCCCACTCACTGTTCTTTCTGAATAAAATTTTAGGTTCTGTTATTATGTCCATTATATATTTGAAAGCAAATGAGGCCCACTCTTTTAGCCAAAGTCTTACAGCTAGTTAGTTAAGAGTAAGTCCTAAAACGAAGAAATACAGCTTTTATAAAAAAAAAGTGTGTGTGTGTGTGTGTGTGTGTATGTGATTTTACAGCTCACCCTCTGGAGTGTATCTTCTCCAAGGCCAGCCCTTGTCTAATTCTCAGCACAGTCCTGCATGCATACAGTTAAATGTTCGATGAATTAACTATCTTCAATTAATCCTCAAGTATTTGGTAACTGTAACAAAGAAAGATTACTCAGAATGAACAGCTACAATGACTGAAATTCAATAAAATTCAACGAAAAATCAAGACCAACTTTACTAAAAGCTTAAAAAAGGGGAAGGACTTACATACACATTCTAGCAGCATGTCTATTATGTAAAGCAATGCCTACTACCATAGAGCTAGACTATTCCAATAACTAAACTGCATGGTTTTCCTCTGCAGTTCTTTTAAAGAAATGTGCAGCAGAAAATATGAACCATTAAGCTATAAAATCATGCCTATTCCCAAGTGTCCCCCGATAGGAGATATTTCAGAAGCGGGCCCATTGCCATTATGTAGGTGTCCAGACTGTAATATATGGACTGTTTCTTCAGAGGTAGACAAACTATTTCATTTACTCAAGTGGCAATCAGGGCTGAAACTTGAAAAAATTTGGGGTAGGGGTTGGGATAAATTGCAAAATTGTTTTCAAGACTGCTTTGACTACTACAATTTAGGAAAGAAGCAAAGCAACCCATGTCTCCTCCCAGGATCTGAAACTGTCATTCATTTGAAATTAAGATGGATTATGAAACTACAGATTCACTGGTTTTAGGATGATTGAGAAGCAAGACAGATGCCTTTTGCATCAGTCTTGGCACCATCTTAGAAGACTTTCCAGCGTGATTCTTGCAGCTTGCCAAATTCTGTAGGAATATCATTGCTTTTCTGAAGAACAATAATTCAGTTTTCTTCTAATTGAAAAAAAAAAAGAGTTAGAGAACTTTACAGGTTAGAAATAGGGGCCCAAAGTGATTATATAGGCTTTTAGCTCTGAGATGTCAAGTTCCCCAATGACATTTAACCGAGAGGTTTTGTAATCTGTCCTCTGAATGCTCTTCAAAGACAAGGACTATGGCACGGAAAAGCCCTCAGCCCCAGCCACCATGGGTGGGATCTACAGCCCTGTTTCTAATATCTTGACTTCACTTTGCAGGAAACATTTTCTACTTTTCTGAAGCATCAGGAGAGAGAGGGAAAGCCCTAATATTTGCAGACCCCGTCTCCCTGAAAAAAACTCGGCCTAGGAACAGAACTTCAAATCAGAACAATTTTGGAATCCCTGATGACTGGTATCAGAGCAAAACTCTTCTTCGCTTTCTGTCTTCTTGATTTCCCAGCAGGCAGCACCCCCTTAATAACTACCTTTAGATGATTTGCACCTGCTGGCATGGACCCTCCTACATTTCTTTTTCCAGGATGTTGCCAACTTCCAAACTTCCTAACTATGCCAACTCTATAAAAACACTACTTCTGTTGCCCATCCATCTTTGGTTTGAGTCCAACAAATGGAAGCAAATTAAAAAAAACTAATTCACCATTTGCTAGGGTTTGAGACCTGACTGGATCCCTGGCTGTATATCTTCATCTGGGTCGTCAGGGAACAAGAGTCAAATTTTCAGTTCGTTTTGTTCTAAGAAATAGATAAAAACAATTGGTTAGTGGATAAGGATGGTCTTTTGTGGACATGTCACTTGATTTCCCATTAATAACTGTTATTCACTTTGACAGAAAATTTTTTAAGCATTTTTTTAAGAATTACCAGGTTCAGTATTATATATAATGTACAGGGATTATGTGTTTCAAGGTTTTTAGAGCCAATTTCATGCTGTACTCAGGTTTCTTTAGTTTTTATATAATGTGCTTATGCTATTCTAAGGATCCCATCCAGGATACCATGTTACATTGATTTGGTTTTTTGTTTTTTTTATGGATAAATTCATCCATCAGAAAAGTATCTTTTGTCAGACCATGGTGTTGGCCTTTTTTTTTTTAACATTTTTTATTGATTTATAATCATTTTACAATGTTGTGTCAAATTCCAGTGTAGAGCACAATTTTTCAGTTATACATGAACATACATATATTCATTGTCACATTTTTTCCTCTGTGAGCTACCATAAGATCTTGTATATATTTCCCTATGCTATACAGTATAATCTTGTTTATCTATTCTATAATTTTGAAATCCCAGTCTATCTCTTCCCACCCCCTGCCCCCTTGGCAACCACAAGTTTGTATTCTATGTCTATGAGTCTATTTCTGTTTTGTATTTATGTTTTGTTTGTTTGTTTGTTTGTTTTTTGTAGATTCCACATATGAGTGATCTCATATGGTATTTTTCTTTCTCTTTCTGGCTTACTTTACTTAGAATGACATTCTCCAGGAGCATCCATGTTGCTGCAAATGGCATTATGTTGTTGATTTTTATGGCTGAGTAGTATTCCATTGTATAAATATACCATATCTTCTTTATCCAGTCACCTGTTGATGGACATTTAGGCTGTTTCCATGTCTTGGCTATTGTAAATAGTGCTGCTATGAACATTGGGGTGCAGGTGTCATTTTGAAGTAGGGTTCCTTCTGGACATATGCCCAGGAGCGGGATTCCTGGGTCATATGGTAAGTCTATTCCTAGTCTTTTGAGGACTCTCCATACTGTTTTCCACAGTGGCTGCACTAAACTGCATTCCCACCAGCAGCGTAGGAGGGTTCCCCTTTCTCCACAGCCTCTCCAGCATTTGTCATTTGTGGATTTTTGAATGATGGCCATTTTGACTGGTGTGAGGTGATACCTCATTGTAGTTTTGATTTGCATTTCTCTAATAATTAGTGATATTGAGCTTTTTTTCATGTGCCTATTGATCATTTGTATGTCTTCCTTGGAGAATTGCTTGTTTAGGTCTTCTGCCCATTTTTGGATTGGGTTGTTTATTTTTTTCTTATTAAGTCGCATGAGTTGCTTATATATTTGGGAGATCAAGCCTTTGTCGG